TCCACACCTCTTCATCTAAAGAATAGTTCCCCTTCTCGATTTGTTTCTTATCCTTCTTGAGCGCAGGTTCCTGCTTTGTCCATCTGGGTTTTCCTGCCGCTTTGACTCGGCATTTGGCCTCCCAGTGGCCCTTGCGCTTGCACCAGTTGCACTTGCCTGGCTTAACTTCGACGTTAAGTGCCCGGTCGTCGTTGTTGGAGCTCGTGGGATTCGTTAAAACGAAGGGCAGCCTTGTACTCGGCCTCGAGGACAACACGAACGGTGGCGAGGATGTTGCTCTTGGTCCGCGGCATTGTGTGCACTTGGTGAGTCACGGCGCGCATCTGCAATGGGATCATGTCCAGCAGACGGTCGACGACCATGGAGTCGTGCACGGCATCCCCGCTTGTGCGAAGCTTACGAACAACATCTCGTATCGTTCCAGGAGCTGTGGTAAACTCTCTTGTTTGGTGTTCCACTTCATGTTGAAGATTTCGGTTAGGGTGGCGAGCCGGTCGACGCGTGTCTTAGGCTCATGGTGTTCGGCCAGCGCACACCATGCTTCCACGTAGGTGTCCTTATTGGCGATATACTGCTTTTGCGATTCGGAGCAACAGGTGATCAGTATCCCGAGCGCGTACCCATCCTGTTGTTCCGTATGCGTAGGTGAATCCCACATGTATCGCGCGCTTGTAGCTTGCTCGAGGTCATCGTTGGCGGTTTCGAGGTCTTGCCTTGCCGCGAGTCGAACTCCGGCGTCATTCACGGCTTTGAGTTTCTTGCTCAACATGCGTCCCTTGAACGCGGTACGCCAGGAGTTTCAGTTGTCTTCTGTTAACTGTAACATCCGAAGTGTTGACGTCTTGTCGTCGCTCATGTCACTTGGGCTCATAACCTGTTGAAGCGAGGAAGAGCGAGCTGATGGCTGCAAGGCCAGTGGAGTAGATTCTAGGGTGAATTACTGTTCGTTATAAACCTCCGACCTCTGTGGATATGAATGGCTGTGGTAGCTCCTATATGAACATGCAGATTGTTGATCAACGACTAACATTCTCAACACCCTGGACCTGGAAACGATACCAGTTAAGCGGACTGCAGCAGCTCTACTAACGCGCGTCATTCCGTCCCGGTCCATGGGGATCCTTTGCATCACAGTTGTCTTTGTTCGGCTAGGCGACGACGAAGCACCCAAGGTCGTGTTGAAAAAGCCGCAGTGGCAGTACTTGGACACCCCCATCGGCCGCCTAGCCCGCACCCTGACCATGTACTCGACGGCCAGCAGCACATCGACCGCGAAGCAAGCTGCGCGGTAGGACCGAGCGGCGTGCGATCGAATGTGACTGAGTGATTTGTGCATTTGTAGCCCCAACAATGCGCCACCCGCGGTCATGGTGGCTCCAGC